TGTGTTTGTGTGAGCACTATTTTTGGGCTACGTCAGTTCCTTCGGTACTAGCCGTGGTGACGGCATTATCTTGTAGTTCACTGGCCAACTGTAGCGAAAAAAGTAATATGGCAAAAAATATCTGAAAAATATAATATCGTCCACAGAGATGGTGAGACAACTTGTTACATGAGTAACGTGCGGGATAGCGATTTGTCCACAAAAGTAAAACCTGATGGCCAGAGTACGTTGCACATTTCGCGTATCAGCGAGGGGCATCTAGAAGAAAATTGGTCACTCGAATGGCATACAGGAAGATCGTGCGCTAAACTACAAAATGGAAAAGACAGTCATGAACTGAAGACAAATGAAGGAGAATACTCAAATGAAGGAGGGAGAATACTTGGCGTATCTCGGTCTTCTGTGTATTTCAACTCAGGCTGGAACGCACCGGGCTGGCCCGTGCGATCATGCGTTTTTGCACCGGACTTGAATTATTTAGGTCATGAACGGCTGTTGCTTTACACCTGTCTTTTGCGGTCACTAGCATAAATCACCATAAATTTTGCAAAGTAAATGTGTAATTTACATTTAACAGTCGTTCTTTAAAAGTAACCTAGTTGTTCAGGGAGAAATTTTTTCGTCAAGACTTTTAAGTACCCGTACGTAAGAACCGCGCATACCTCAAGGCTGAATTTGAAATACTTAAGTTGTAAAGACAGGGAACATTCCCTGAGAATTTCAGCTTTCCAGCTTTTCTAGCTACCGAGTTGGCAATTTTCCCGCCAAAAAATTACATACCCGTACTTGGGTACTCCACGTGCTTGGAACGGTGAATTTGAAATTTTTAGATTGCACGTGGACAAGGAAAATCCGCCTAAAATTTCAGCCTTCCAGCTCTTCTAGTTGCCGAGTTAGTAATTTTCCTGCAGAAACTTCCATACGCCCTTAGGTGAGCCCCAAGCTAGCAGCTGAGGCGAGCCGAGGCGGCCGAGGTGGAGCCGGAGCGACGGCAACTACTAAAGCTCGGCTCGGCTAGCCCTAGAGACAGGAATTGGAGACAGCAGTAAGAAAAAAAGAACACACAGCGCCACAAACAAAAATAAATTAAAGCAAATTTGATTTTATGAATAAAAGGAAAAGAAACTGAGGTTTTGCTAGTGGGAAATATTCCTCAAAAACCTGTCATCACTAGGGAACTTCCCTGTTTATGAAACTGATGCTTAGGTAGAGCTGTCCCACAAAAATCCGGCAAGAACTACAACTCGGCTCGGCTCGGCTGGTGGTCGTTGGTGTTTGAGAAGCCCTTTGTCATCTCTGGCAAAGGTGTTTCGTGGCGTCGCTCACCGGGATCGATTGGCAGCCTGCCAGAAAAGTAGGGCAACGTTGCCCAGGTCGCAGCGGTTGTATGGCCTGGCTGGTAGAGAGGCGGGATAGTAGAGGGGCAGCCGTGGTTGTGGGGGTGCATGGAGGGGTGAGCGGCGGTTAGTGGGTGTAGAAATGTCTTCTCTTCCCCCTTCTCTCTTCCTAAGCATCAAATTTTCCTATTTCCCCCTCTCCCTAGCAGTGAGGACTGAGAGTAGTGGGCGACCAGACTCGCCTTGCCACTCAATCCCCCTAAGCCGCACACCCCTCCCCCCTGGTGGCGAGGACTGAGGGCGGTGGGCGAACAACTTACCCTCGCCACTCAGTCCGAGTGGACCGGAGAGACTGAGTTTTTTGCCCAAACGGGAAAAATGGGGGCGCAGCCAAGGAACGTGGTGTATAGATGACCTCAAGGGGCTGTAAAATGCGTCTACCCTATACGTTACACATCACATATGCGTAACCTAAAAAGCCATAAAAATCCTCCCCTTCTACTTTTTTTAACTTACGCTGGCACCACATTCAAACTACCGCCATCCGCCGTGGGGCAACCCTACCCGCCTTCTGGAAAAAGAATTTTTTACAGCTCGTGTGTGCGACGGGCCGAGCCGACCCTTTTCGAGCCGAGCCGTGTTTTAGTAGCTCTTCAAAAATCCGTCATTAGGTTTCCCTATTTATTAAACTGATGCTAAGGTAAAGCTGAGAGCTAATAAGTTCCATGAGCAGGGCAGACTCGATGCGCGGGGATGAAGTCAGCCTTCACTTCTGTGAGATTTTGAAGGCAAAAAAAAAATAATTGGCCAACGCACGGGTTGCCCGCGCGAAGATGCGTTTTTCGCATAGTTCCCTGTAGTTTTTGTTGCTACCGCACCGGTTTTTTCGGCAAATGCTTCTAGCTAAACAAATTAAGATTGGCCGCCAGGACTGTTAGAAAAAACCCCCTTAAAAATTCAGCTTTCTAGCTTTTCTGGTTCCTGAGTTAGCAACTTACCCGAAAAAAACTTTGGCGGGCCCGTACGCGGGTACTACGCTTACCGGGGATGGGTTTGAGTGCATTAACACCTACTTGGACGGGGAACATCCCCCTAAGATTTCAGCTTACTAGCTTCTCAGATTCCCGAGTTATGAACTTACCCGTAAAAGGGGTCCGTACGAGCATGTAGATTAAGTCCCCAAAGTTTCAGCCCTGCAGATTTTATAGGTCTTGAGATGAAAAACTGGGACAGACTCACACACAGACACACGGACATACGGACACACAAACAACCCCTCGTCAATATGCGTTTCTGCATTGCGTAGCTGCAAGAAACGCATAAGAGGTATAACTGTTGTGTACAGTTGCAGGCTGCGGGAAACAACACTGTGGAATTGTTTGCAATTCTTGTGTAAACTCAATCGGATTTATTTGTCCTCAGCTTCACCTAAGCATAAACCCCATAAATGCGGGGACCGCTTACTGAAGACGGGTTTTTGTAAGACAAATCCTACTTGCATAAGCTCTGTTTTTGTTTGCTTTTGCTTTTGGTTACAGGCTCCAATTCTTTGATTTTGCTTTTTTTTTAATTCACAAATTCAGGTTTGTTTTAATTTACTTTTTGTAGTGCCGCATTGGTTTATTTTCTTCCTCACTGCTATCTGCAGTTCTTGCTTTGAACTCCTGACTAGCACTCTTCTTCCCCTCCTGTATCCTGTCCCCAATCTGTCTCCAGAGTCGCATCGGGGCACCCACCACCAACCACTGCCACCGTTTACCGTCCTAAACTCTTAACCAGCAGCTTCATTCCTACCCGCTATCCTGGCCACAGTCGCGCCCTCTAAGCCGTATCTGGGTAACTACCAAGCAACACCCCCCAACCACGTCCAGTCCTCCGACCCATCACCACCCGGTCAGGCGGTCCAGCAGCCAGACCCTGGGCAACGCTACCCGGCGTGTCTGGCAAAATGCCAAGCTGTCGGAACAAATCGCTGCGGAGCCCAAATACCATCGATCATCGGGCGAGCCGAACCTTTACTGTAATTGCAGCAAAAGCAACGCCATCAACAACAACACTATGGGCTGCCGTGGTAGGACGAGTGTTGCGCTGCGTCTCTTTGTGTGTGTGTGTATGTGGCAGGTATGGTTCGCGAGGGGAGGGGTTGGGAGGGGCACGGCATTGCGCACTGTATTGATTTAGTTGTTTGCAGTTGGCCATGGGCTGTGCGGTCGGTGGA